TTTTTTCCCTTTCACCCATTTACTCGTATCTATTCTCCACGAGTAATGGGAAAGGACTGGGATCGGACCGCTGACCCTCCCGCTCTACCTGAGTTTGAGACAAAGCCGCCCCGAGAAAGACCAAAGCGACGTAACCTGGATGTTGTGACAGTTTCATCATATTTCCTGTTCAGAGAGAAACCTCTCAGCGTCTCTCAAAAGTTCGTGTCTCAGATCACATCTTCAGGTCGTCCTCGCTTGGACAACTTACTCAATGGTTGTTTTAGGTGTCACAGTATTTAATAATATTATTTTATACTGTGTCTCAACGTGTCAAAATGAAGACTTTGAAAAGCCGTCACTGGATAGTACCTTTCATAAACTCCATTTCTGTTCAGTGTGATTGTTTTCTCTGTATTTTTTTTTTTTTTTTCATTCTCAGCCACAACAATGACATTTCTAAAACATCAATAGTAAAAATCAGGCTTTGGTGTCAGTCACTCATAATCAAACAGCCGAGAGATTTTTTTTTCTAATCTCGCGACTCTGCACCTACGTTCGATAATCAAACGGAGAGGAATCCATCATGGAGGCTCACAGAGACTAATTTCTCCACCAGCCGTCCCAAGAGACTGATGCAACGCAGCCATGTTTTGTGTTGGGAGTAAATGGAAAGACTTTGTTTTCTAACCTATAAAACCAGTTTTTAACCAACGTGAACGGAAACAGATGAATTCAAAAAACATGTAGATTTACTCCAGACGCAACAATATCGTTTTTCACTAACCTGTATTTAATCAGAGTGGGTTTCACTACACACATTGTTAATCCTGCCTCTATACAGGAATCGAACAACGACCTTCTAGTCCTGTAGGTCACCACAATTCCTTTTTGTGGAATTGTTGGTAATGATGCAGAATGACTGACAGCGCAGAGCCGGATGTAGAAACTGATATCACGGTGTGAAAAAGATGGAAAAAACATTGCAGTGATTCCTAAAATGTTCAAACCCTTAAAGACAATAATGTTAAAAAAAAGTTTTTATCAATTACATAACGAAAAAAGAAAACACAAATACAATCAAATATATCGACCTTGAATCAAGAATATTTCCCAAAATGTAGTTTTAGGTTAAATACCCCGATAAATATTTTTTTTCCAATTTATCCAAAGCAACATGAAGCCATTCAGATGTTTTTGGTTTTATTTTGTAAGATTTTCTCGCAGGACATTTTGAGCTTCGATAATTGAGCGGAACATGTGTGGCTTACACCGGCTGGTTTTGGAGAGATATGCTGCTGCAGTTTTTTCGAATGTCTTTCAGTTTACGCTTTTAACTCCAAAAAAGAAATTCCAGGTCACCCCCGATCGAGTACAGTCAGGGTTTGATGTCCGTGCACATCTGGATAACCTAGGATGTGTATGCTTGGATACTGTACGTGACCTTTCGGGGTGCACACGAGTCACTTTGCGTGTTTGTGTTTGCACGAGGGGGCGGACTCACGGAACTTAACCACGTTAGAGCCGTCACAAGCTGAGCTGAAATTAGATTAGTGTCACCTGTGATAAGGCGAAGGGGCGAAAGAGGGAAGAGGAGAAAATTGGAATAAAGGAAACGGCTATTTCACCACCACCTCCACCTCCTCCTCCTCCCTTCTCCCAGCTCCACAATAATTTCATTTCAGATTCCAGGCACTGAATGCATAACCGCCCTGCCGTGCTGTTATGGAGCCAGCTGAAGTTAATGGAATATTTATATGCAGACTGTGGAACCCTGAATTTCCTTTCTTTTTCTGAGCTGTGTGCAAACCCCCCCCCCCCCCCCCTTTCTTCTCAATCTACCCTGTTCCTATCCGTCGCTCTAGAATTGCCTTTGTTAGGATTTGACACCATTTCTACACCCGCGTTAGCACTGTACCTCCACCGGCTGCAGTTGAAAAGGCCCTGCAGAGAGACGGAGTGAGCGAGAGCAGAGTTTTCGGTCAGCGGATATTAGCTCCATCGCTTCACTCTGAAGAAATCAATGCAGAGGCGGAGTCTCCACCGATGACCCCCCACATCACACACTTTACTTTGAGGTGATGGAGGATTCAATTAAGCTAATGCAGCGAGGGAGAGGTGAGACATGGCCGCACGGGCGTGAGACAACCTACAACAACAACTACGATGTGGACGGATGCCGCCAAAGTGCTGCATTAAATAATGAGGGACGGGCTGCAGGAGGGAGCGGGCGTCACAGGAGATTGAGAGTGGAAAGTGGAAAAAAGAATAGTGGAAGTAAAGGATGCTGGGGGAAAGATAGAGATGCTGACAGGTGAAACTGAAAGGAAACGGAGAGGGGGGAAGCAGCGAGGGAGGGAGACGCAGAGGGGAGCTATAAATACAACAAGAAAGAGAGAGAGAGAGAAAGAGAGAGAGAGAGAGAGAGAGAGAGAGAGGCCCTCGATTGCTGCATAAACCCACAATAAGTTGCTTCGACATTGTTTGCATTCAGCCACTGTCGCGCTATAGGCTGCCTCCTGCTGTGTCTACAGGAAATCCAATAACAGCAAGGTATCATGGGATTGTGCTGGAGAAATATGGCGTATTCTGTTGCGGTAGAGGCGGACGGGATGGAGAGATGAGGTGGAGGGGAAACACATAGTCTTCCGTTAAGTATTCAACCGCAGGGTCACAGCACGGCTCCTCCACACATTCATCCATTCACCGTCCCGCTGCACCGGAGGGATTTACAGTTTTATCTGCAGGCGGCGGCTGCTCGCAAACAATAAGGAGTAGTTTATGTTTGTGTGTTCGTCATCCAATAACTGACTCCAGTCCAAAACGCTCCAATAACCAGTTTGTGCTTCGAGCTGAAGCTATAATCGCTGTCCCGGAGTTTGAATGGTGAGCTCTCTTTCTCGCCTCGACGATATGAAAATAATATCTGTCTCTTCCTGAACAGAGCAGGCCCGACCGTGCGCGGTTTCCACCATTGGACCCCGATACCCCCCAGAAATTGGATCATGGCCGTGTTCGCCTGGCTGAGCCTGATAACTCCTTTAACAGATAACGAGCAGCGACGGGCGGAGAGGAAACACATACAGGTGGAGTGGAAAAGATGGCCCCTGTGTGCGTGGTGGAGGGACAGGACAACAGGGCTCATTTGTCCAAACGTGTGCGTGTTTGTGTTGTTAGTGTCAAACAATGGGAGGGGATGTGTTCCTGGGCTTCCTGTTAGCGTCTGAGAAATGACATGAATGGACGCCGCAGCACCTCTCTCTTTGTGGGAAGCAGGAAAGGCCGGGGTGCAATATTGGCAGCGGCCGCAGGGAGATGAGTCACGGCGTCTTTAATGAAAGCGCCCGCGGCATCTGTGTGGAGTAGGGACTGGCACCATCAGCACATTGTTATCTGGGCTGAGAGGCAGCGGCGGACCTCCCAGGCCACGTGTGCCACCAGAGCCCATTACAGACAGACGACGGCACCTGGCGAAGCACGGAGACAAAGGAAATGGAGGGAGGAGGGGGGAGGAGGAGGAGGAGGAGGAGGAAGGAGGAGGAAGGAGGAGGAAGGAGGAGGAAGTGGAGCTCATTAGCACTCAGAGCAGGTATTAGAGGCCAGCTCTCGTGGTTTGGTTCCCGGGTGGATTGTAGGTGTGAGGAGGAAAGTGGAGTCTGGATAAAATAATTCTGTCTCAAAGTGTTTTTTTTAATTAAACCTTTACATGATACGTGCGAGGCTCCTCACCTTCCAGGGCAGGATTCAAATATGAAAATAAAAAGAAGTTAAAGTATTTTTTTCCTCAAAGCTGAGAAAAGGAATCAGATCCGTATATATTCTTTGAGGAAGGACAAGTATAAGATATAAAAAGGCCACAGATGTGGTAAAAAGACAGAATGCCTGTTCTCTCCTGTCTGGCCTCAGCACAAGGCCACAGTCACTATTCACATTAATTTTTCATCTCATTTCCTTTAGTGGATAAATGAGCAATAAATCAAGGATGTTGTAACAGTGCCCCCTGGTGGATATGGTGAGTATCAAGACAGGTGCTGGGGTCTGAATTTATTTTTATTTTTTATCTTACAGTTTATTTTAATGATTGTATTTTTTACTTTTTTTTTAACGTGTAAAATTTTAAATTTTGTATTTGTGCTCTAATGTTATTTCTTCTTATCGCCCGCCTTCATTGTTTCATCAGCTTTTGTATTTTAACTTTTGTTTGTTTCATTGTTTTTATATCATGTTGTTTAAATTTGTCTTTTTATTTCTGTGAAAAAAGAAAAGGGGAGGGGTTCGGGAATAAAAGAAAGTATAGAAACAGTATATATCCTCTCTTAGTGCATTTCTATTATATATCTCTATATACATATGTACAAACACACACACACACACACACATATATATATATATATATATATATATATAAGAAAGATAAGAAATGTTTCTTATCAGAAATGTGCCAGGTTATGTAATAAAAATGTTTTTCCTGCAGGAACGAGACGTCACCATCGTCAAAGCACACAAAGTTTCCTCCTGTGCTGATGGAACTGGATAATGGCGGCGGGGCTCTTCTGGAAAACTTCTATTGAGCTGCACTCCACAAAACAACAAACAAACCCTTCAAACTCCACATGCGTGTTAGTATAATGAGCACATGACGTGAAGTAATTAGCCAAGAAACCTGCTGATGACCCCGATGAGTTGTAGTTTGACTGTTTCCCCGATAATGATCCTCACACTGTTTTTCAGTTTTACACAAACTACCAATTACACTTTTAAGGAATTCCCTCAAACAGTAACAACCACCCACGGACTCCGTCTCCGCAAACACTTTATAAACTGTGCACCGAGTTGAGAGCTGTGTTTTCTTGTGGGGCTTTTCTTTGCTACCTGCCACAAACACGCCTCGCTGCTGCTATTTTGGCCTCGGTCACCTGTTGACCTGACAGACAAGTGTCAGGGGAGAGCTGCACATGTCAGCTGCAGGTGGAAGCTCTCAGCAGGGAGCGATGCTGTGGCGCTGGCTCGCACAGTTGGAGCCCAGGATAACACAGCGCTGAGGGACTGCAGGTAAGGGGGCTTCTCTTTACACCATGCTCTTCATTTTGTCTTTATTTCACATGTTTTTACTGCACTTTAGTGATTTAGATATGAGGATCATGAGCTGCTTGATGTTGTCCAGTAGCTTGTATTTGACACAGTGAGGGGATTTTACAGTAAGTGTAGAAGGAAGCTGCTGCAGATCTGCTCTGTCACTGGTGTACTTGCTGCTGTTTCCTGAAAACAGTCCCTTCCTGCTCTTTCCTCAGATGTAGCTGGTGTCTGAGGAGGTTTCATGAGGTTGTGTGTGACACAGGTAAAACACATCTGCTGAATGGTTTTGCCTTTACATGTGGAAAACTTTAAAACAAGCAGCATGATGGCTTTTAATCTCTGTGGAAGACTCGTAGATTTTTAGAGCTTTTCTCTCGTCGACCGCTCTGCCTGAGTTTCACACATTTCTCCCCTGGTCCTGCTTCAGTGAAGCAGATAAAGTTGGGCATCAGTCTGGAGGTTTCCCGAGCCTCTGAAGATGTACGGCCTGTATTTGGAAGCAGTGAACGATTACATTAACGAATCCTATGGAGAGGATGTGTGGAGGCTGATCGAGAACCGAGCGGAGATCCCGCACCTCAAGTTCGTCAGACATCAGATGTACAAGTAGGTGCTTTTTTGTTTCTACTGAAGATCTGTGACATGAGCTGGTTTTCAGTGTGAACAGCAGCAGGTTTGTATTTTCTGACAAAGTAGAACTGTGACACCAAAGAGATGCAATAACACAGACATTCACTCGACGACAAATTCAAATGCAACATTGGAAGCAGAAAATGTTGCATGAAATGTGCCGTGAAGAAATGTTTCAGCCTTTTTTTAGACGAATATGTAAAAAGGAATCTGACATTTTAACCTGGTATTAAATTATAAATCATAAATGGAATAGAATTTCACATTGACGTCTATATTCTGATATGAACTAGATTAAGAGAATAGTCTGAATAAGACACTGTCCTTTTGAATAAACAATAAGTCCATTCACAAGTGATATGACAATAATTCAAAAAGGGTATTTACATGAGTTTCTAACATAATATACTATTTATGTTCATGTTCACATTAACATTAGCTTCCACCAGAATTTTAAAACCTTCTGTACTGTTTTGAGTTTGTTTTCTTTCTACAGTTGGTAACTGTTGTATGTCGATGTCACAAACTCCATTAAGACTTTATAATGAGCTTAAGACGTAAACATTAATGTGACTGAGGACTCCACTCCACATTATTAGTGCCATATTAACACGTTCGTAAAATATAGGTTTTCATTTTTTGTGGGCAACTTGTTTGATCCCTTAAGGCTGGTAAAATATTTTCCATTTTGATAAATGTCTTAATTATTTTCTCAAAGTTCTAAATCAAAAGTGATAAATATAGTTTCATTTAAATCTCTCTGGGTCAAACAGTTAATAGAAAACTCTTTTTTCAGTGACAACCTGATCCTCCGACTGGCAAAGGCCGCCGGCGAGGTTCTGGGGAAGACCCACGATGAGCTGATGTACGCCTTCGGGGTCTACATGGTGAAGAGGATCGGAAACTATGGATACGAGCGGATCCTCAAGGTGATCCAGTGACCCCTCCCCCCATCCTGTGATTTAGATATGAGCAGTAACTTCACACTGATTTAATATGACTGGTTACACGTTAATGATGCAGATTCAGTGCAGACCCAGCTCACCTGTGCTGAAGAAAGGAAAAAATCCCTCTGGCACATGGGAAGTTTCATATTTCGGAATAAATTGAATAAGAAACGGTTCAGCGGTTCTAAATATATCTGACTGGGAACTGTAAAAAAGCGTTACCTTTGAAAACTGGTGCAAATGAAATCCCCTACGGGTAAATAAAGGTTTCGTGTATTCACTCAACATGAAACATGAACAGATGATGTTTCCCCCGCACATGAAGTAACCGTCTTCATGTTAATTTGAGACGTGCATAGAAACACAGGAAGAGCCAGATGTATGAGAATAGATTTCATACTATAACACCAAACATCAAATGCAATTCTATTTCTTTAAAAAAAAAGTGTGTTTCCCTCGTCTGCCATCTTTTCCAGGTGTTGGGCCGAAATGTGCGCGACTTCATCAACGAGCTGGACAACCTGCACGAGTACTTTCGCTTCTCCTTCCCCAAAGTGCAGCCGCCGAGCTTCTGCGTGGAGGAGGAGTGCGAGACGAGCCTCACGCTTCATTACCGCAGCACCCGCAAAGGTTTCACCCAGTTCGTCAAAGGTAAGAGGAGGAAACTGGGTTCTGTCCTCCCGCTCCCTGTACATGTGTGGGTCTCTACCCATTGCATGCTGGGATATGCTCCTTCCTCATGTGACCCTGACTGTGATTAAGTTTGTACAAACGTTACGGAGGAATTACTCTGTGTTTTTGCTCGTTTTGTTTCATTTACTAGAAATCAGAAGAACTTAACTTTATATCATGAAACAGTTTCCAACACACGCTGCAGCTTTCACGTTTTCACGTCAAGTGTTTCTTTGCTTCCAGGCAACTGAAGGTGAAAGTTTCCACAAAGTCACAAAGGAGTGATTCTACTTCTCGCTGCAGTTTCCTCTGAATTTAAACTTAAACAATCCTCTGAATTCCTCATAAGTGCAGTTGACCTCCACACATCCCTGACCAGTGTGTCGTTCTCGTCTCCTGCAGGGCAGCTGTCTCAGGTGGGACGACAGTTCTACAACACAGACATCGAGGTGGAGATCCTGTCTAAAGAGGAGACGGAGAAAATGACATATGTGGTACGTACTCAGGTCACGGGTCAGTGGAGCTGGTGTCTGTGTCGCTTCCATCAAACTGGAAATTATTCCATGGCCTTCAACGAGACTCCCGGCACAGTTCTCGTTTGCACTCGAATAACAAGTGTTTATAAGAGGCAGATGAGTGTTTATTGGTCTGAGACTCTGGGTAAACTCAGGATTTACAGAAGGATCAAATATGAAATGTGGATTCTTTCATAACTGTTAGCCCACGATCCAACGTGAGAGTCACAGAAGGTTCAGAGTTTGTCCCATGAGGAGAAAATACAGCTGCTAAAACATCTGGATCTCACCTTATCAGGAACACGGCACTACTGGGATTTTTCACCTCACAGCTTTTCTAAAAATGTTTGCAAACAAGCCTCAGAGGTCGAACTTAAAATCCCTTAATACATAATATCACAAGCTCATGGACGTGATGAATGAAAGTCGTGTCTCGGCCTTGTGGGCACGCTGCCGCTGCCATTAAGGCTGGTGAATTAATTTCTTTATTGATTAATGTGTTGATTATTTTTCAAAAGTTATAAAACAAAACTTCTTTCTACAGTTTAACGTCTTATATTCACTAACTACATTTCAGATTCCGTTGTTGTTTCCCTCTTCGTGCAGGTTTACAAGATGAACTTTGACAACGCGGCCTTCAAGCACCGCATGCCGCAGCAGAAGACGGCACCGAGCTACGAGAAGCTGCCGATGAAGCGCGGCATCTTCTTCGACATGTTCCCCTTCAGCGTCATCTTCCGCCGCGACATGACCATGTACCGCATCGGCGATGGCCTCAAGGAAGTGTTCTCTGACCTCCAGGGCAAGAAGGTCGACGAGGAGTTCGCGCTGGTCAGACCCATGCTGGAGTTCAGCTGGGACAACGTGAGTGCAGAGAGGATCGCAACTTTGCCAACTTCTCACTCAGCGTAAATCCTTCACTAACTTCTAAATCCACAATGATCCTCCTTCTTCTTCCCGTGTTCAGATCTACACTCATCTGAACAACGTGTTTGAGCTGATGTCTAAAGCCGTGGTGGAGAGCAAACAGAAGGTCAACATCCCCAAACTGAACAAAGAGGAGCCGGAGGAGAAGGAGGAGAGCGAGAAAGCAAAGAGGGAAGAAGAGAGAGGTGCCACTCAAATGTTTTAACTTTTCATCTTGATTCGAGAACAAAGTTTCCAGAGTCGTGTCAGTGAGATTAGTCAGAAACCCTCAAAATCACAAATCTTTACTGCGGGGACGAGGAGGAGCTGCAGGAGGCGCTATAGAGTCTGAAAAAGTATTTTTAGCTCCACACAGTCTATTCTGTCCTGTTTCACTTTATATTAAATACAAGTTTATTTCATACAATTGGAATAAAAAATTATCCCATTAGAAACTCATTTTTGTCCAAAGTTACTGTGTCTGAACAGAGGAAAATAAAATAAATTAAAATAT